TATCTTTAATTTGTTAGTAAAAAAGTGCGTTTATTTTAGTATATTAAGGCTCCTAATGATTTGCTGCAGCCATCTTTAATTGCCATCTTTAATGTCAGAAACAAAAAAACATAATGAAAATTTTTACAAAATAAATTAAAATAGAAATGTTTTTCGCTAAAATAATGTTTTTAGTTAATAAGACAGGTTTCTAAAATATACCGAAATCTTTTTAATAGTTTCTAGTAATTGTTTAGTAGTTTGCGAAAATCATATGTTTTTATCATTACTTTTCTCGCTTTTGATGTCATAATTCAAGATGGTTGCAGTGAACTTTAAAACCATCGTTTTATAAATGCCAGTTGGAAATATGTCAATATCTTGAAACGAAGATGATTGATATCATCATGTAAATTTGAAAGCGGAGAAGAGAACATTTTCCCTTTAGTTATCGAGGAAACGAAGTTCATTGTTCTCATATTCCAAGATATCGATATAGAATTTTCTTATCATACATGTGAAAATGTGTATCGTATATGCAAAATTTAGGTTTTCCACACATATGATGGATACATACGACATATTGATTTTACACTGAGAGAAAACAAAATAGTTCTGGCAACTATATTTATGACAATTATGAAATTTAAGTACTTACAACTAAAGTTTTCTAAAGTTTTCTAATTAAGTACGAAAATAGTATTGAATGCAATAAAAATATAGTCACAGTAACAATATATGCGAATTATTAATTGATAGTGAAATAGCGACTCAATTATAATTACATAGTTATATGGACTTTGTACAAAACAGAATATGACATTATACTTTTCGAATTTAGAAATATTTTTTTGAAATAAGCATGATGCCACAATGTTATTGAAGTAAATTAAAAAAAAAATACACACTGACAACAACAGTATACAATATATATTAATTTATCTAACGATTTTCTACAAATGATTAATATTACTATATTTTCTTAGTTCATACAACTTGTTGATTGTTCTTATTACATCTTAACTTTATTATATTATCGAGTCGAGGCGCTATTTGTGTACAAATTTCTAGTTGTACGGTACGACTTTTTTTTCCGAGTGTACACGAGCCTAAGTACCACCAGTGGAGAAATAAAATGTCCTTCTGTTTCCAGGCGATATACGACATGCTCGGCGCGTGTTCGAGCAACAGACCGGCGGACAGCGCGGAGGAAAGAGCGAAGAACATATTCGCGAAGATGGACGAGAACAACGACGGGCAGCTGACGCAGGAGGAATTCCTGAAGGGCTGCCTCCAGGACGAGGAGCTGTCCAAGATGCTCGCCCCTTAATCCCGACGTCGCCGCACTTCCGGACGAGCCGTCGACGCGCGATCGTAAAATCACACCACGACCCACACGACTCCCTCAAAACTCGACGGAAACGTCAAGAAATACCAGCAGCAATAAGGAAACACTGAAACGGATATTCGCGAGCATACACGCATCATTTACGTACGGCCGTATCAACGACAATTTCTTATTAACTCTTTGACGTAACGCTATTACGCTATGACGGTTCGATAACGAGCCCGTCGCTCGTGTCCGACGGGAGGATACGTGATAACAAGGGATGATCGAGAATGATCGATAAGGAAGTGGAGGGAGAGCGACTCGAAATCGCTTCCGAGAGAGAAAGAGAGAGCGAGACCCGTGAGAGGAAAAATTTTCGAGGGGGATTGATCTCGATGACACGTTGCACATTCGATTTTTGATTCGGGATTTTTGTGGGACGGCAGCAGCAACTGTGGTGGTGTTTATTCAGCCCTGGAGAAGGAGGAGGCCCCGTGAATATGGGAAACGGACAGACAGTGACATCGCCGACGACGACGGCGGGGGATCTAATTAGCTTTGCGTGGAAATCCGTTATCCGTTTCGCGAGTTTGTCACATCGACAACCGCACGGCGAACCGAACCCCCGCTCGCTGGGTCGTCGTCCGGATTTAGGAATTTCCTCAAACTGTGCGGTGACTTAGCGCGGTGAAGGAGCCTTCCATTCTCACCGGAATAAGTGACAACGTCGGTCCTCGAGGACCGCGATGGTTTTCAAAATCCGCGTTTGCACCGACAATTTGGCTCAGCTGATCTCGGAGAAAGTACGATTTGATGCTGTCTCTTTCCGGATTACAGTTCCGTCTAATGACAACTTGGTGAATCCCCTGATGCGCATTAAGAATCATCAAGATTTACACGTAACTTTGCATAATTTCGCTTATCGCAATGATACGTCACGAATCTAATTTCATTCTGGATAAAAGAAGATAATCTTAATAATTTTTAAAAGTATCGCGGTGAGTTTTACCAAACTTGTAATATTGTCTTTGCAAACGTATTGATTTTGTTATTTGTACAGAATTGATATAATTGTTCAGGCACATCATAAATTTCCTTACGTCGTAAATTGTTTGTTGCTACAAATATTTAATCTAAATCTTTACATTATCATACGAGCACATTTTGCATATAAATTACAATTAAATTTCCAATATATTTAAATAATTCCGAAATTAACTAAACTGTGATCAGATTTAGATTGCACAAATTTTTTCAAACATTCGAATCTGCACAAAAATCACTTTTTTTTTTATTCTCTGTAAGGAACATTAGGACAGCTCAAAGCCAACTGTGATTTTAATCTCGTGTAAGTTACTTGTTTCATGGTCATCGTTAATCTGTATTCTATTCCATTATTCATTCTGCAAGATTAAATTTTAGAGCGAGTCTCGTAAAATTTATCATTATTCTGATCGTATAGAAATTCTAAATGAGATATTTAAGAAACAGACATCAGAGGTGCATCAGAGGATTACAATCGGGATTGATCGAAGTCGGTGCAATCGGCTCGAAGTCGCCCGGGTAATCGCATCGTAAATCGAATTTCACGTGAGGTTTATAGAATCTCAATGGAATTTCGCAGAGAGAGACGGAAGGAGATGGTATTCATAGGAACCTCGTAGAGAATTAACGATTGCGCGAGACTCGCGTGCGCGTAGAAACGCGAGTGGTGCGCGCCCCATTTTTCTCAGGCCCGCGTCAATCGATCGGTCAGATTATCCAAGCTCAGGGGAGCTGTTGCGAGGGGCGGAGGGGAGGGGGGGGGGTGGCGGAGCGATGTCGGCCACCGTCCGCGAAATGATGCGGTGTTATGCGCCTGCCTGAGGTGATAACACAACGAATTGCGAATTACCGAGGTAATGTTGTCGATTACATAGGGGGGAATAATATATCGCTTAGGGGTGACACAATGTTTAATTTTATACCGCGACGCACCGCGGGAGCTTCACCAAGCCAGCCACGCGGTTGCATCGTCGACCAGCACGCGCATAATCCCCCTCACTGGGAGATCGATACGTACCTTGCGTACGATAACTATTATCGCGTGCAACGGATGTGGGGAGTAGCTGCCGTATGGCCCGTACGTATTATCGCCACAGATCCACCGGATGTCCGTCGCACACCTGTGGATTAAGGAAATAGTGGAGGCCGTGAGAGATGGCAAAAGCGCATCAGTTTCCGAATAGTCCAAAATTTCCCCGCGAATTTCCTCACGAGTCATCTCACTATTCTCTTCATATTGCGCATGTTTTGCGCTCATTATTATCTCGCTGTCGCTTTTTTAAGTATATGTATATAAAATTAAATTTTCGGAATTTAACTGTCTTGATTGCCGCGAGAAATTTATATAAAGGATATTTGGTTTAAATTTAACTTTTTTTTTTATCTTTTTTTTTTTGTGATATCAACATACAGTTGGCATTATAGAAATAAGATATCTAGATTCTCATCAATCAACTTTAACCTTAATTTATTTTTTTCTTTTTCCTTGAACGAGAAAGAGAGGAAAATAAGAGAAAATTAAGCTGAAGTTCATTGATAAGATCGATCAAATAAAACCAACTTTTCTAATTACGTTTCTAAAATGTGCAAGTGATCGATGTAACGACATTCTTCTCGTTACGTTGTAATTGCGGTACGGAAAGAGAAGAAATAATCAACCCCAGTCGCACTAATCGAAGGGATTCGATCTTGTAATTGCACAGTGGCCATTTTAATCCATTCGACAGCGTGCTTGTCGACATTCCGACACTTTCCATTACAAAGACTTCGAATTCTTCTTTTTCTTTTTTTCCCCTCTTTTTTTCTTTCTTACGTTTCCGCGTAACATATGCCGAGATACATGTGTTCGCGGAAACTACAATGTGCACCGAAGTCAACGTGCTTCGCGTGCATATATTTTAAGATTATGAACAAACGTCACATGTGCATCGAATACACAACATCACCACGCGACATTCTTCGCATAAATGGATAAATTGAGAAGTTTGCATCACGTGCGAAAGTGGACGAATCGATTGCTTGCTGTCGAGAATCTTGTGCTTTGCGTCGAGTCGATGAGGGTAAGTCATTATTATTTATTATATCGAGCTGAATGCGATCATGGACATTTTAAATATACTTCGAATTAAATATATTTAAATGTGTATAAATATATCGTTGAATATATTTAAATATATATATATATATATTTAAAAATTTTATTTATAAAAAATTTATATATATTTTAAATATTATTCGCAAATGATCTCCCGGTCGAGATGAAAGAAATACCTTTAAGGGAAGCTGAAACTGAAGTATTCTCTGTCTTTCCGAATGATCTCTCGTTCTTTAATGATTAAACTTTTCTGAAAATTTTCACGAATGCACCTGCGTGCTTGTCGCAATGCACAGAATTAAAAATGCACGCTTTAGACATAATTGATTCCAAACGAGTGGAAAGATCAATCCAAGTCTATGACGTATTCTCTATTCTCAATTTATCCTCTCGATGCTGTTGTGACTGCTTTACTGCATGTTGAGACGCACGTTACAGATTGAACTGTAATTGCTTTGGTTACACGTTTCCGATATAGTTCCGCAATATTTCTCGGGGTTTGCGTAATAATTTGTGACATCAGAATCTCTGTCGAAACACTACAATCACTATAATGATTAATCTTTTTGTGCACAGATTTCTAAAAGAAAAATTGTCCGGCTTTTATATAATATTTCTTCGTAGATAGAATGACTGAGAGTCGTCACTTTGTAATTATCTTGAGTTGATATTAGAAATTAGATGACACCACTCTCCTATTTCTTCTATATTTAGAAGATAGAAAAATGTACATTAAAGGTCCACTTTTTCAAGAAAAATAGACATTTATCTCGAAGACAAGCTAGATGAGTATCGATAAATACGAGCAGTTTAAAATTTGTATCTAAAATGATACAGATCTTCGTGTTTAACTTAAATAAGTAATCAGTAAGCCACATTTTTCCTGGATCAAACGAAAGCACGCGCACTGCAAATTGCAAGCTTGTTCGATAGGAGAATCAACTACGTACGCGGGCTTTAAAGCCGCGAGCTTTAAAGCCACGGGCTTTAAACAGAATCGATGTTTGAGACAAATCGACTTGAGAGCGCGAAGTCAACAATTTTTGCACGGCATAGCTAACGAGCTTCTTCTGTAACGAGTATTTCTGCATCGCACCTGGCGTTGTAAATTTCCACATTTGAAGCGACTCGGTCGCGCTTAGAACACATTGTGATTCGCGCGATTTTCTAGTGACTAGAAAAAAAGAAAAAAATAAATGCGTCACATTTGTATTTCGTGAACGTGTCTTCTAATCGGTTGACCGATATTGCATACGAACTCAACGGGTGAATGCAACTGAGTGATGATTCGGTTAAAAATTAACTTTCAGACTCTGCGTGAGAAAGCTGTTACTATTAGACATTAATAAATACCAAGAGACATAGAGGGTCTCGACATAACGCAACAATGTAAGCGGCTTAGCTTACAATGGGAGAATGGTAGGAAAAAAATATTCTCAAATCAAAATATGTGTGCGATTCAGTTCTCACGGTGGACGATTCCGAGTTATTGCGTTGGAGTAGTAATTATTCTCATGAAAAAAAAAAATTATTTTTTAAATAACTTTTTATTGAAATATATTTTAAATTATAATTTAAAATATAATTTAATTATAAATATTATTTAAGTATGTTATAATTTAATTTATAATTTAATAACGGAAGTTTGAACGTATTTGAATTAATATTAGAATTAATTATTCCAACGTAATAATTGATGATGACTTGCGTGTGAAGCTGACTCGAATCTGTTTATAAAATAGATACTTATTGATCCGATTAGCAACCAAGATACGATAGTCTCTGTGCAATTGTTAGGACACTCTGTATATTTGTATATTATCTCGTAAGGTGAATCAAATTGAAGAGTAATCATTGTGGAAATAGTATCGAATTAATTCATAGTCGTAAACACCGATGATACAATATATTGGATATAAGGTGAAATAAAAGACTCGCGGCGCGAGTTAAAGTTATGAAACAATTGTGCAAACAATTGTTTCCGGTAAGTCGAGAATATTATTAAAATCAGTCGATGCGCACGGATGAAAGAAAGAGCAGATGAAGCTTTTAATTAAAATTCCAATTCATCCTTTAGTGCCATTCGCCGTGGTTATTAAAACGGGTAAAGAAAAACCAGAAGCTTGCAATCTCGACAACAAGGAACAAGGGCGAATGTCGTTAAAAATTTTGCATCACGATGCGTAGCTTATGGAGTGCTTGTGATATTGATTCAGATTAGATTCGTTACTTTAAATGAACTTGAAGTGGGTTATACTATAATAACTGCTTATTGTTAGATGAATAAAATATATTCGAGGATCTTGTGTATTTTACGGGAAGGGACGGTACAAAAACTTCCACGATCTAGAAGGACTACAGCAAACGTCTGCAATGGTTACAGATTCTAAGATAATTGAAGACCTCTTATATTAAGCAATTGATAGACTTAAAACAAAATTCTTTATCAAATTTGCGTAAGAAGACTATTTACAAAGATTTAAAGATTCTATTTCATGAATTGGCAAAAAAAGGTTGTTAAAATTGTAGAGCTAAAATGTTCTTTTTTTGCAGAAAAAGATTAGTTGTAAATCAAGATATATAAATTCTTATATATAAGAAAGAATATTATAATCTTCCTAAAAGAATTCTCTCGATTTACTTG